CCTTAGGATTGATGTCTTTGGGAGTTGTTGGGCTTGAGATTCTTCGTGGTACCAACAAATAGAAGAAACAAGCAGGTACCATTAATTTATTGGTTGTGTTTCAATTTTGACCGAGTCCTTTTCAGTTTTGATCGAACTTTGAAAATACAGTTTCATCTTATATTACTAAATCTTCTTTAACAAGTCTACGAAACTCGGTTGTGTGTTTGGTAGAACTTGATTTTTTGTTTTTATTTAATATTAAACTAGTAAGTGAACCCGTGGTGAACCACGGGTCGGGTTTTTTTTGGGGTTTTTTCTATTTTGAAGTGAGTTTTGTTCTTAGGCCCATACAGTTACTGTTGATGTTGGTAAATGTTCTATAAATTTTTTTTCGGTTTTCTCTTTGTTAAGTGTGAATCATCATAACTATCATACCCATAGTTTTCTTACAAACTAACCATTGAAATTGTATACTTTGTGTATGTTTTTTTTTAATTTAAAAAACTATTAGTGATTAGTTTGCACATAAATTACAGATATAATAATTATAAAACTATTTCAATTTGTTATATATAACTCCCTTACAAGGTAAAATATTGTTGGAGTACTGGTAAAAGAACCAATGTGATGCTTCATAAAAGATAAATCCTTGGTAGGCCTAAACTTTGATGGATCTGCACATGAGCATAAATGGTCAAATTAGTCATTTACAATTGTTATTCAAAAATCAACTAAATTCATAGCAAATACATGATGCTGATAATAGTACCTGCGCCATGGGGTACAAGTTCCTCAAAATTCTCTTTTTCCCATAACTTCCACTTACGTGTCTGCATTCAGCAGAATTGTAGCTTTTATTTAAGTGAGCCACAATTTTGAGTTTTTTAATCATCAATTCATCATATATATTATAATTCTACGGGTTTATTATGTGTTCTTGAGGTTGAAGATGCATTTTAAGATTTTTGTAAATAGGTCAATGACATTAATAAAAAAAACAATATTATAATATGCAAAAATAAATTAATATTCTAACCTTTGCTCTTCCAAAAATCATTGTGAGGGCGCTATAAATTACATGAAACACGACCAGGAAGAGAAGAATATAAAGATATGCAATTGATGCAGTTGCTCAACTGTTATGATCTCCTCATATCCCTCGTCACAATAATGCAATATATATATATATATATATATATATATATATATATATATATATATATATATATATATATGAGAAATTAAATATCCCCCTACCTTTTATTCCTACTTTTCTTCCTATCTATTTAAGATGATGACAAGTGTACAAATTTAAAATCTCAATCAAATTTAAATTAAATTTAATGACACTTGTCACCATCTAAAATAGGTAGGAGGATAGTAGGAACAAAAAGTAGGAGACTATTTAATTTCTCTATATATACATAAATATATATATATATATATATATATATATATTGATCGTTATATTTGTTAGAATATAAAATATGCAAGCTGAAGTCTGTTCATTATGATGATCTCCAACTCAATGAAGCCCCAAAGGATGTTACACTTTGAAAGTTCCACCAATTTATAACATTTTAAGAATGCTTTGTAAATATTTAGTTCCCAAGCCTCTATTTCTGTCTTTATCTGTCTCCTTCTCAATAAATAACAATTTCTCTTATCAATTTAAAATCTAACCCTCTTTTTAACATTACTCCTGTAAAAATTCTTCATTAGCAATGAAGTAATCCAAGGTGGGTCTTGTATATCATATACATTAGTAACTCTAAACATTCATGTTCTGCAACCACCCCATTAAACTCAAAGGTTACATCAACATCAGATTATTTTTGTATTTTTGAAGTCTTCTTGATATTAGTACATGCAAAGATGTAGCTAAACGAAGAAGTTGATTATTTTGATCATTTAATAATAACGAAGTATACAAACAATTGTTTTACAAACACATTACCATTCCATTTAATTAAAAGGTGTAAGTAGAAAGGCAAGTTACCAGTGTTGAACATAAGTTACACATGCATACTTATTACCAGTTATTTCTTGCATTTATTTATTAACTTGTTTAACAAAAGAAAATAAGAAAATGGTAAAACTAAAAATAAGACACTGTCCGATGTCGGGCGGGGCCCGATGAAGGGGCGGGGCCCACAATATGTTTATATGTGATTATGTGAATAGTATGTGGTAGTTTGGGGAGACTTACTACGCTTCGTGCTTACGGTTTTCAGTTTTGGTTTCAGGTACTTCCAGTTGCAAAAAGAAGAGCTCGGGATGACTGCATTGCACACACCATGATGTTTAGCCTGATATGTTTACTCTAATGTTTTGATTTGGAAACTTTGATGATAATGTTTTGAAGTACTTTGACTCATGATTTGATGGAATGGTTTGATAACTATGGTTTTATTTAATGGTTAAAATGAAATTTTTTTGGTCAAGAATTTTTGGGATGTTACATTTTCACTTGAAATAAATGAATTATCCCAAAGAAGTGCTCCTAACATCGCCCCCAAAGTGAAGTGTGTGGTCAAAAAGACCCAAAAATCATGTTTAAAGGAGGTAGTTACAAGCATTTTTTTTTGCGTCGACACGACTGTGTTGCTATATAGGCTAAAAACAGCATGGTCGTGTGATCCACAAAAAAAGCCTCCAAAATCTATCTAAACACAATCACGTGGTATTCCTTTGCAAACTTAGCACGACCGTTTTAAGTTGTTGTCTTGCATTTTCTAACTTAAACTTCAATCAACAAAATCATCATTTGGGCTTCCTTTGGCATCCAAAATCAACAAAAGTCATTGTTTATCAACCGCAATCACTCTAAACCTACAAAAACAACCAAAAATACCCCAAAGTAGATTTAGTTCCACCAAAGTATGTTTTTCACCAAATGATATGCTATGCATGGAATAAATGCATGAAATGAATGTAAAATTGTGAAAAACCATGCATAAAAATGCTTTTAACATCATTCAGTTTCTACCAAATAACCATAAGTCGAATGAAAAAACATATAAAGTTTAAAGAGCCTCAAGAACCATGTGACAAATGACCTACTTGACAAAAAAAAACTTTGGTTACCTGATATCTTCAACTCATCTGAATTTTGTAACAACAAATTTTCCGATTTTAATTATTTTATTTTACTTATTCGATTTCAAAATACACATTTATTCATTTTTTAAAACCAACTAATAAAAGTTCAAGAGTCGTTTGACCCAAGATAGTTGAACTAGTTTCGAGCAATTAGAGCCAAACATAATACTATACAAAAACAATGTGATTTCTAAAATAAAAAAAATTTAATATTTGATGCAAAATATATGAATGGATTGTGTTTTAAATGTCTTTTATTGTTATAAGTTTCTATCAAGTAATTTATAGCAAAAATAAAAAATTTTAAGGTCAAAGTTGAAGAATAAAGACTTCAAAAGTCAAAAGTTAACAATAAATATAGGACGGAAGGAGTAAATGGACCAAAACTGTAATTTACTCTTTTATATTTGTTATAAGACATAATTGCCAAAATAGTCCCTATGGTTGGCAAAATTATGTGGTTTTGGTCCAAAAAAGTTTGATGATGCATTAGTGGTCTAATTTTGGATACATCGTGTGGTTTTGGTCCTTATGATTGATATTCGTGTGTGGTTTTAGTACACACCCAACCTAAAATGATGAATATACCCCTATTTTTTTTTTTAATTTTATTTATTTATTTTCGTATGCTTTCTTATTTTTAATCAAATAAACCAACAAAGAAAACAAATCCCAAATGCCCCTCCTAAGTCATCGTCCCCAATCCCCGCCCCTCTCACACTCTCGATCTTCCTTCTTCTTTAGCCCCTCGCTAAACCTAACCTCCACCATTGGCCTTGCCTCTGGCGATAACATCAACCCACCCCCCACCACATAAACTACTAAGTCCTTACCCCAACCTCCCACCCTCTCTCCCTTAAGCCCTACATTCTCTATTCTATTATAGATATTGGCTTCTCTAGATCTCACTAGTAATCTGGTCGTCATCGGCCACCGATGAACTACTCCCCTCCATTGCCACCACTAATAGCGGAGAAGGGCGATGATATCGTAGTAGAGATCGGAGTTAGGTTTTACACATATTTTTTTTTGTATCTGTTTGCCACAATAGGAGTGAGCGACGACGAAGTCTGAGAGGAATTCGATAACTGTGGTCGCCGCCGCCTGCCTTCTCCGTCACCACCTACATCACTTGCCTTCTCCATTTCCACCTTCGTCTGCCTTCAACTAATGTAATAAGGATTTTCGTCCTCCATCAATGATTAGCAAAAAAGCTTGAAATCGACACACATACACCTATAAATCTATGCAAAAACTCTTGAAATTGACACCCACACTAAATTAGGAAAGACAAAAAACAAGGTTTGTGGTGACTCTATTGGAATGGAGGTAGACACATGTGGTGGTTGTGTAGGTGTTTGCTATTTTTATTTTGCAAACCTTAGCTTTGATATGTAAACTCTGGCTCTGGCCACGACTCTGTTTTAGTAAACCATAGCTTCGACGGATGGCGACATAAATACTACTTGTTGCTTGGTTTCGTTGTCTAGATCTGACTATGGGAGGGAGGTGGTGGTGGAATTGAACTAAGAAGGGGGAAGAGGTGGTAGAAGGGGGTCTTATATAGAGACGTACAAAAACTTTTTGGACCAAAACCATAAAATTTTACCAACCATATGACCATTTTGTAATTTTGTAAAATTAAAGTTAAACAAAAAGCAAATTATAGCGATGATCCAAATTGAAAAAAAAAAACTAAAAGACCAAACACATACGAAGTATTACAATTCGTGTAATTTCAATTACTATATAATTAATCAAACTAAAAAATTATTAAGATAGAGCTTAACGAGTTCGAACTCTAATTACTTCGTTAATTGCTAGATAAGATTATCAAATAATGTGGGCCACTTGATAGAAAATTGGGAAAGTGTCGTTGGGAAGTTGCTGCTAGCTGTACCATAATACTACAAAACGCATATGTCAGTCACACCGGTAAAATACTCCGACTATTACATCCGCTCCGTCAATCTTACAACCGCCAACTGTCAACATCACACCAACCACCGTTTCCGGCTGCTCAGCCACCGCCATATCCAGGGACAAATTCGTGACAGATCTGATCAGATCAGTGGCTGTAGTTCAACTTCCGCGAAATGGAGGAGGCGCTAGAAATGGCACGTGCCAAGGATACGAAAGAGAGAATGGCCGGAGTAGAAAGGCTACTCGAACTTCTAGAAGCATCGAGGAAGAGCCTATCGTCGTCGGAGGTCACGTCTCTCGTCGATTGTTGCGTGGATCTCTTGAAAGACAATAATTTTAGGGTTTCACAAGGCGGGTTACAGGCTCTCGATTCCGCTGCGGTTCTATCTGGTGATCACTTTAAGCTTCATTTGAATACTTTAGTTCCTGCAACCGTTGAGCGCCTTGGTGATGGGAAACAACCCGTTCGCGATGCTTCTCGACGCCTATTGATCACTCTCATGCAGGTACTGTGCCGGCGTCTGTAAATTTGCTGTCAATTTCGAGTCAGCATTGACCGTTTCTTATCGAAATTTGAATCTTTATGGAAGTTTATGTTATTCCCTATTTGAAAACGAAATGCATTTTCACATTCTCTTGTTCGTTGATGGTGGGTGCATTCGAATTGCCTTCTCTCTATGTGATCTTGCAGTTTCTACTTTATTTCTTTGAGTGATTTTACGATTGCTGGTAGATGCTATCTTACATTTAAAATAATTTTTTGAAGAAAAAAAGCAAGGGAAAATTACATCAGGTAAGCTTACTAGTCTGTCTCTACTGGTGGTGCAGGTTTCTTCTCCAACCCTCATTGTAGAGAGAGCTGGATCCAATGCTTGGACTCACAAAAGTTGGAGAGTTCGAGAGGAGTTTGCAAAAACTGTTACAACTGCGATTAATCTTTTTGCATCTACAGAACTACCACTTCAACGTGCCATTCTGCCTCCTGTATGTCATTTGCAAGTGTTTTATAAATCCTATGTTATGTTACTGGAAATAGTAATACTTACTGTGTCCACCTGTCTTCAAATGATCAGATATTACAGATGCTATATGACCCTAATCCAGCAGTCCGAGAAGCTGCTATTTTATGTATAGAGGTTAGTAAGGGGTATGGTCTAACTGTTTATGCAATATTTTCTATCCAAGGCAGATTCTCATGAGGTTTTATATGATGAAGTTTACATTTGATGCACCATCTTTCTTCTTAGTTAATGTCCTGAAACTTCTTGGTAATCCAGTTTCCAACCTAGGGCTTTGCTTGTATCGTAATAGTCTAATCCTTTTTTGACTGATTATTAATATTATTTCCTTTTATCTCTGTGGCTGCAGGAGATGTATGCTCAAATTGGGTCTCAGTTTCGTGAAGAACTTCATCGGCATCAGCTTCCATCATCAATGGTGATTATGTTACTACTAGCATGCTATGCCATTCAATTTTCAGCTCTTTAGCTTAATTTCCTTCTCTGTCTTGAATTTAATCCTTAGGTAAAAGATATAAATGCCAGACTAGAGAGAATTGAACCAAAGCATCATCCTTCAAATGGACGTCACGCTCCTGCTGATGCAAAACTCTCTAATCATAATCCCAAAAGAAGCAGCCCAAAGGCCAAAAGCTCCTCTCGCGAAGTTTCTCTTTTTTCAGGTTACGTTTATTTTGTCCTTGAACATATTAGATATTCTCTATGTCTCTTTTTGACTTCTGTTTCATTTATATCAGTAGTATTGATGTATCTACATTACAGGTGAAAGTGATGTCAATGAAAAGCCAGTAGACCCAATCAAAGTGTACTCAGAGAAGGAGCTGATTCGGGAATTTGAGAAGATTTCTTCAATTCTTGTTCCCGAAAAAGATTGGTCCATCCGCATTGGTGCCATGCAAAGGATAGAGGGCCTTATCATTGGAGGTATGTATATTGTATAATTTAATTTCTTATATGATTTTGTACAACTCTTTGTGGTAAATAATAGACTATTTATCTCACATACCTTGTATCACATCAGGTGCGATTGATTATTCATGTTTTCGTGGACTTCTAAAGCAGCTTGTTGGTCCCTTAAGCACACAGTTAGCTGATAGAAGATCTAGCATAGTTAAACAGGTATCCAAACTCTTTCATATGTCTGAAAACTTTAAAAAGAAATTTTCAAGTTCTTAATAGTTTATGCATTTTACTACTTTTGCTAGGCTTGCCACTTATTAAACTTTTTATCCAAAGAGCTGCTGGGAGATTTTGAGGCATGTGCAGAGATGTTCATCCCTGTGAGTAAAAAATTTATATTGATATCCTAACATGCCAAATGTTTTACTGACCCTTAAGTTTACTATTAGGTCCTTTTCAAGCTTGTTGTGATAACAGTACTTGTAATCGCAGAGTCAGCAGATAACTGCATAAAAACGGTAATTTTAGTTTTAGTTGTTTTGATTTATTTCGTATCTTTTTTTTTTTTTCAAATATAATTTGTTAAAATTTTCAATTTTCTGTTTACAGATGTTGCGTAACTGCAAGGTTTCCCGTGTACTACCTCGTGTTGCTGACACTGCAAAACATGACCGGAGCTCAATACTACGTGCCAGGTTTGAATTTATTATTTTAATTATAGTTTCAGACAGTTTCATATTACATTCATTACAACCTCTTTTAAATATCTGCAGATGCTGTGAGTATGCTTTGTTGATATTGGAATATTGGGCTGATGCCCCTGAGATACAACGTTCAGCAGATCTTTATGAAGACCTTATCAAATGTTGTGTTGGTGATGCAATGAGCGAGGTATGAAAGAAATGAAATGCTTTTATTATTATTTTTTTGATATACTCTTATCATTATTATTACAATATAGTGATTAACTTGTAATGACAACAGGTGAGAGCAACTGCTAGAGCTTGCTACAGAATGTTCTCCAGAACATGGCCTGATCGTTCCCGTCGGCTGTTTTCACTATTTGATCCTGTTATTCAAAGGGTTCGTGGTTTTAAATTTGAAAACATTTTTTTTTTAATTCTTGTACTTTTCTGGATTATTATACAAAAAATTGTTGTTCTAACTAGATATTATTGTTTGCATAGATAATAAACGATGAAGATGGAGGTATGCACAGGAGGCAAGCTTCACCCTTGCTTCGTGACAGAAATCCACAAGTGTCACTTAACACCCACATTTCCACTCCTTCAAATCCACCTGGATATGGAACTTCAGCCATAGTTGCCATGGATAGAAACACAACCTTACCTTCTTCTGTAACCTCTCTCTCCTCCGGACTTTTATCATCACAAAATAAGGGTGGTACAGAGCGTAGTCTGGAAAGCATGTTGCATTCAAGTAAAGAGAAGGTTACAGCCATTGAGACCATGCTTAAAGGTTTGGATTTCGACAGAGCAAAATCTTCGAGTCTTGATCTTGGTATAAGTTTTAAATCATTCTTTGAGTATAAAAAGTTCTTTTTTATATAATTTTAAATGACTAAAATTCTTTTGTTACTCCTAGCGCAGGAGTGGACACACCTTCATCTCGTGATCCACCATTCCCTCTTGCTGTTCCTGCTTCCAGTAATCTCCATAGCATCTCTAGAAGTAGCAATCATGATGGGGGCTTGGCTTTATCAGACATCATGTCACAAATTCAGGCTTCAAGAGACACTTCCAAACACTCAAACGAGACTTTCTCATCTCATTCATCCTACACAGCTAGAAGAGTTGAAAAACATCCAGAAAGTAACTCTTTTGAAGATCACAATGACATTAGGGTTGCCAGGAGGTCTGTAAACAGACAATACTTAGACACACCACATAGAGATACACATTCACATTCACATCATGTTCCTAATTTTCAAAGGCCACTTTCAAGAAAAAACGTATCAGGACGAATGTCTGCAAACAGACGCAGGAGCTTTGATGATAGCCACTTATCCTCTACAGACACGCCTACCTTTACAGAAGGACCATCTTCTCTCAATGATGCTTTAACCGATGGGCTGAGTTCTAATTCAGATTGGCATGCCAGAGTTGCTGCTTTTAGTTACTTACACTCTTTATTACAACAAGGCCCTCGAGGAATTCAAGAAGTCATACAGAGTTTTGAGAAAGTCATGAAAATGTTCTTCCAACATTTAGATGACCCTCATCATAAAATCGCACAAGCAGCTCTCACAACACTTTCAGATCTCATCCCAGCTTGTCGAAAACCTTTTGAAAGTTACATGGAGCGAATTTTACCACATGTTTTTTCTCGATTAATTGATCCAAAAGAATCAGTGAGGCAACCTTGCTCTTCAACTTTAGAAATTGTTGGGAAAATCTACAGTGTGGATTCTCTTTTGCCAGCTTTGCTTCGTTCTTTAGATGAACAACGATCACCCAAAGCAAAACTTGCTGTAATCGAGTTTTCTGTTACTTCATTTAATAAAAATGTGCCAAACCCTGAAGGCTATGGTAACAGTGGGATTCTGAAGTTATGGCTTGCTAAACTGACGCCATTGGTTCATGATAAAAATACAAAACTGAAGGAGGCAGCTATAACATGTATCATATCCGTGTACTCTTGTTTTGATTCGACTTCTGTTTTGAATTATATTCTTAGTTTATCGGTTGAAGAACAGAATTCTTTGAGGCGTGCACTTAAGCAACTTACACCTCGTATAGAAGTGGACTTGATGAACTATAGGAAAGATAGACATCGTTCTATATCCTCTTATGATCCTTATGATGTTGTTGGGACTTCTTCAGAAGATGGGTATATTGGGGTATCGAAGAAGATTCCCATGTTTGGAAGGTATTCTAGTGGCTCTGTTGATAGTGATGGTGGTAGGAAATGGACTTCTGTACAAAGTGATGATCACCTGTATCAGGACATTCATACTTCAAATGGAGTTAATGCCACAAGTGATAAAGTAAGATCCTGGAATACTCGATCAGAAGTTTTGGAGGGCAACCCAAGTATGGAGGTTTCTTCAGTTCCTTGTATAAATCATGATGATGAGAAGACTGCAGCAGAATTGGAATTCAGTCTTTTGAAACTCACAGAATTGAAGAGTGACTTTTCTGCAGATAGTGGACCAAGCATTCCTCAAATCCTTAATCAGGTGAGTTCAAGTTGTTTAAAGGGAACAATATCTAATGCATAATAATCTCATGTTCTTGTGTTTTCCCCTTACTTTAGATCTGTAATGGAAATGATGAGTATTCTGCTGCAAGCAAGTGCTCGGCACTTCAGCAATTAGTTGATGCCTCTTTGGTCAATGATTCATCCATATGGACTAAGGTATGCGTGTCTTCTTCTTTTCATGTTTATATCAATTGTATATTTACTGATATCTATAGCATTACTGAAACTTAAGAACTACTTTAACCTTGTGGAAAAATTAGCCGAATTAAAACAAAATTTATCCATTTAACCCATCATTTTCTTTTCTTTTTTTTTTCATTATCAAAATCAGTCCCATTCTTGATTTTGTTCTAGCCAGTGTGCCCATTTTAACATTCCATGACAAGAATAAAAAATCACTCAAAATACATTTTTGAACTGGAGAAAATTTGAAAACCTTTTAACTATTGTTAAAAAAAATTCCAATTTGACGGTTAAAACCGTTACTTTTGACTTGGCAATTAAAAAATATGTAACACCTAGATGAAATAAGTTAAATAATATATTATTTAACAGTTTATTGTTATCAGAATAACTTTGGAAAAATATTAGTAGTAGAATTAAAAATGGAAATTGTAGAAATTAATTTTGCATAATTATGTCTGTATTCTGTAAGATGCTATTAAAATGTATATCCTATGATGAACAATGTGATTCTTAGATTTGATAGTTGATGTTTTGATGTAAAATGTGTACTTGCGTATTTCTGTTATTTGATATGCTGTCATTTTATAGTTAAACTTGATGGTAAATATGAAATTATAATTGAGACTGTTGATCAAAAGTAGCAAATATTGGGTTGTGATTTTAATTACATATTGTGTGGTGTTATTTGTAGTATTTCAATCAAATATTGACGGCTGTAGTTGAGGTTTTGGATGACTCTGATTCATCTGTCCGGGAACTTGCTCTTTCATTAGTAGTTGAAATGCTAAAAAATCAGGTTTATTACTTTTATTTTTTTATGCTCATTGTTTCAGTTTCACAATCATATATCTTACATTATGATATCATATGTGATGCTGTTTTCAACAGAAAGAGGCGATGGAGGATTCTGTTGAGATTGTAGTTGAAAAATTACTACACGTCACCAAGGACTCAAACCCAAAAGTGAGTTTTTGTTTTTGTTTTAATCAGGTCGATTTAGTTATTGGATTTTAAAAAATAGTGGTATCTCCATTCTCAAAAGTAGATAGATATTATTAAAAAAATTTCTTGTTATATCTTATGTATGATCGTGCGTTGTAAATGCAGGTGGCAATTGAAGCAGAGCATTGCTTGAGTATTGTTATGTCTGAATATGATTCTTTTAGATGTTTAAGTGTAAGTTATTCCATTTCATACCTTGTGTTCATTTTGGTGATTTAGTATGTGTCTTTTTTTTCTAATGATCTAATAATCTACCTTTGTAGGTTATAGTCCCGGTGTTGGTTACTGAAGATGAAAAAACGCTTGTTAATTGTATAAATTGTTTGACAAAGGTACTTTACTTTCTCTCTCAATGATTATCATGGGATTGGGTGGAGGTGATGCACTAATATAAATATAATATAATGCATGGTGGATTTTCTACTTTTCAGGTTGTGGGTAGGCTCTCCCATGATGATTTAATGGCTCAATTACCATCGTTTTTGCCTGCGCTTTTTGACGCGTTCAGTAACCAAAGTGCTGATGTTCGCAAGGTCAGCCTTCTGAATATAATTACTTTTCACAAATTTTATTTATATTTATAAATATATATTTTGTTTTATCATCGTAACAAAAAAGGGAGGATGGAATCAAATTCCTTCCACCCTCCCTTAGTTAGGAAAGGTCAAACACACACACAATGGAATGGAATCTGGGATTCCAATTCCATGAGAATCCGCTAGTAAGGAACTGGAACTGATTGTAATTGGTTTGTGCATGCAGACGGTGGTGTTTTGCCTGGTGGACATCTACATAATGCTTGGAAAAGCGTTCTTGCCATATTTAGAAGGTCTCAACAGCACACAGTTGCGATTAGTTACCATATACGCTAACCGTATTTCACAAGCCAGGACAGGTACTCCCATTCAGGGCTAAACACAAACACAAAATTTTTTAATTTTTTTTTTCAGAAATGGAGAGAGAGTGTGTGTGTGTGTGTGCAGTGTGTTCTTCTTGTTCATTCATTTGTATATTTGTAAGTTTGGGCTGGCATCATTTTAGTTTTTTTTTGGCTGTGTGAGTGTTTGGAGGGTTGGTATTATTATATTGTATGTGTTCTTTTAATTTTGTTGTGTCCATAACAGTAATAATATAATGAAATTATGTCATCAATGTATGTATGGGTGTTTTTTCGTTATTCAAACTTGAAATCACATTATTTTAAGGTGTTCTTTCAAGTTAAAACAAACATATTAACATAAAGTATGTATACAGTTCCTGTTTGGTTTGGGACATAGTTAGTTGGTTCTAAACATGTTTAGAGTGGTTCGACTTTTGGGTCCATTACCTTTTATCTTCCAGTTCCAGCTGTGGTTTGTTTTGCTTTGGTTTTGGATGAACCTTTTTAGTGCTTCATGTTCATGCATGATAAATCAAAAATGCTTCATGTACTAAGACTAGAGGACCAAGCCCAAAGTGTTTGAATGTGCCTAAACTCCTGAAGAATAATGGATGAAAGTTATTGCCATTGTGAGTTGAACTTGAAGGGTCTTGCCACCCTTTACCTTTACCTTCAGTGATACCTGTCAAACATTTTGCTTGATCATCAAGATTGCATCTGACATTGTCGGACACTTGGCTATCTTGTTGGAGGCAAGATGATGAACCTACTGTGATTTTGTTCAATGACATGTGTTAGTTACCATATATGATATATCCTTTCAAATGTGACTTAGTTGGTGATTTCATAATATAAAATCGGCCTAAAGACATGGATGAGATGAAACATGTCATAATATCTTGATCTTAGGCATCTTGTGGAAGATCTACGAAATGTTACCATGCAATGGATAAAACAGTTGCCCACCTAAATAATTGTAACATGTAGATTGTGGACTATTATGGATTGTATGTTTTAGCAAAATATCAGTTTGAAAACGCTAATTGATTTATTGGAAAATTTATTATTTATAGATGGGTCCTGATTCTTCTACTTAATGCTTTTATCATTCCATTGAAAAAATAATGTATCGACAATTATGCCCTTGATCTTAATCTGTAAATATTTAAAAGATGGAAATATCTTTTTTGTTTCCAAACGAACCCACGGGGAAGCAAACGGTGTTCCCCTCCTTCCTCCTTTGATGTTAGTACCTATGCATACTTTTAACGATGGACATGGTAGCTTAAGCTCGAGCATTTGCAAACCTCCATTGCGATAACCGATTGTTCATAAATTTTGAATAATGTCGATCTGCTTCTTCCGACAACGGCACTTTCTTTTGCCTAAAGTACTGCTGAGTCCCTCACCGTTGGTTCTGCCACTTGGACTCGGCAACTTTGGCGGCACCGTCCTCGTTGAAATAGGCGCAACTCGCCCTGGCGACAAAGCCCATACGAAAAGAGATGTTGGTTTTTTTCGTGGCAAAAATAGAACAAACGTTTTGTCTCCATGGCCACCTCGACGTTTGCAACCTTCTTTTTACCGACCGAATTAATCTTCATTAGATTCGGAAGGTTAACCATAATATTATTTACTTCCATCTCCTTATAATTTCTACTTTTCGAAGTGGATCTTGAGCGCGATTTGGACGATTTGGAGATGGTGTTTGATTTGCTGGATAATGTAGTGGTGAACGACATAGATGTGGCTGAATTTTCGCTTATGCAACTTTATCAGATTGGGGTAGTTGTTTTCTGACCGGTGATGGGTGGTGATGGCCACTGCGACGAGGACAATGAATCATACCTATCTATTCAATTTTAACAAAATCAGACATAAAAACCAAGTTTAACAGGATCATACATCACACATGGTTAAAAATTCAAATCAGACATCGATGATGAATTTAAGTTCACTTACCATTTGAGAGTGGGGGGAAGAAGCATCGGTTATAGAAGCGACACGGACGAAGGTTTCGTCATACGCGTTTAAAAAAAATATATTTTTCTCTCTTGAGTATTTATAAATTAAAATCAAGGGTATAATTGTCAATATATTATTTGTCCGGTGGAAGTATTAAAACCATCATCGGAAGAATGAGGACCCTTTAAAGATAGTTGCAATCTAAAGGACAAACAAAAATTAAGCACTTTCCTTTGACCAAATTCATTATTTAAAGATAGTCTTTGAATAGTGGACCAAATTGTTAAATTTGAGTAGACCATTTTCAAAGAGACATGTTAAACGAAATCATCAAGCTATATTGTATAACAAGCTTAAAATATATTTTAGAGTTGCATTAGATGTTTTGCCTTGAATATTATCAAACATAAAAGACCATAATTGTTTAACAGACATGAAAGGTTTATGAATACACATTAAAATCTTAAGGCAAAACTTATGGAAAAGTTCAACATGCATGATCCTTAAGTCAAGATGTCACTAGATCGAACAATTGAAACATAATGTCCTCATTTGATAGAACCAACAGATTGAATAGAAAGGAGTATTAGAAAGGGTGTGCACATGAAAGATTCAGTTGGCTAAGAGTTTCATTTGACCTATCGACATAGACATAGGAAGCAATGTCAAGGTTACATGTACATGTAACTCATTTTCTTTTGTTTATTTATTATATATATATATATATATATATATATATATTTGATAACTTATTTTTCTTTTCTTCAAATTAATAGTACATGAAAAGAGTTCCATTGCCTACTTGGCCGCCATGCATACCTACTTGGCCACCATACATACCATTATCATCACATGATGAAAAAAAGAAATTGTCATCAAATCTCATATGGTACGACTGAAGATTTGGAGGAGTGGTGTAAATGGTAAGAACTATCCACGTCACTTTTTTCATATCTCATGTCATCTTGCCATATGTAAATGAGTGGTGCACTCTGACAAGAAAAAGAAGAAAATAGATAATATGGAAGAAAGAGAAATTTGAACTTTCCATCTTGCCATGCCATAGTAGTGGGGCGGTATATGCCACGCCACCTAGGAGACACCTCCTCCTTGTCATGCTTATGCCACCCCACTTCCCCAAGCCTAAAAAGACAAAGTGAAAAAGTCGTTATAGATAACAAAAATAACTATGATGATTTTTAAAAAATATGTATTTGTAACGTCTGGTTCCTGGTGTGTATTTAAACTTATAAATTAATTAACTTCATAGAGCAACTCGACGAGTTGATAGCTCCAGAATCGTCGAGTAGAGATATTAAGGGGCCGTGTATTTTAAGAAACCTACTTGACGAGTTGGGAGGCCTCAACTCGACGAGTAGGCTGGCAGATATGAAACCCTAATTTCCGGGGTTTGCACCCTATTTAAACACGTTAAACCCTTCATGTTGGCCTCATTTCCAGCCTCCACTGTCCTAACCCTAAATCTCGAAACCCTAAAGCTATTTTGAGTGTTCTTGGTGGGTGTGGAAGCTACTGGAAGAAAGAAGAGTCTGGAGACTCGAGAAAGAGCATATAGATCCAGAATCCTTGCCTCATCCACGTCATTTTTTTGGTATAAAGCTTGAACCTTGCCTTGTAGTTGATTAGATCTTCTTTTAGGGTTATTTTGCTTGCTTTTGGTCCAAATGATATGATTTTTGGGAGTTGGATGTCCCAAATGGAGAATACTTCAGATCTAGGGTCTTGAGGGGTTTTCATGGCATAAAGATGTCAACTTTATGGCCATGGGAGTCCCATGCAACCTTTAGACCATCATTTTGGCCTTTTGGAGCTTCTTATGGTCGTGCATGAAGAGAAAGCTGGAAATTTGCATGATCTACTAGTCCCTAGAGTCTAGATTTAAGACCTCATGGTATATCTTGTAGTTTTTGTGGTTTTTGGATTAAGACTTTGGCCTTTTGGGTTAGGGTTTGAGCTTAATCTCTTTGGAAAGATATTAGTGGGTAAAGTTGGAAACTTTACCCTTCAAGAGGCATTTCTAGTCGAGATCTGAAGTATAGGGTTTAGATCTGAAGAATAATGGCTTAATGACTTAAGAAGGGATTGACAGACTGAAGAACTCGACGAGTTCATGGAGGAACTCGACGAGTTGATATGAAGTGTCCCGATTCTGTTGAAAAGGAAGAACTCGACAAGTTTGGGGAAAACTCGATGAGTTGGATCGCGAAATCACGAATTTGTTATTCATGGAAACTCGGCGAGTTGAGTCAACTCGGGACGTTGACTTTGACTTTGACCTTGACATTGATGTTGACTTTGACTTTGACTCGGACTATGACCATAGTTGACCCTAAGGGGTTATGAGTATGAATTTGCATCTAAGGGGTTGTTCTGTTTAGAGGTTTGAGTAGAGCTGATTCCGGAGCAGAGACGTTTCAGCTAGCATCCGACATTTGAGGTGAGTTTCCTCCTGTTTGAATGGGTCGAAGGCACCAATGCCGACCCGTATTTATGATTGTATGTTTTCCAGACTAAGGTTCGATGCCAGGCGGTGCCCGATGAATGTTTATAGGTTTTCCGGACTAAGGTCCGATGCCGGGTAGAGCCCGATGTATGTATGATATGTAGGTTTCCGGACTACGGTTCGATACCGGGTGATACCCGATGAGTATGTGCATGTTTGGTTATACTTGTTGTCTGTGTGATACTTGTATGCGCCTGGGTAGGGAGGTGAGTGTGGGCGGGGTCACGTATCTTATCACCAGCTGAGTGTGGACGGGGTTCCACATCTCATCATTAGTAGAGTAGGGGTGGGGCCCATGATAGGCGATGCCTTAAGACTGGAACATATAGTACTATGTATGATTCTTTCTGTGCTAGCATGAATATATGATATTATTTGTATGTGTATAGCGGGCGAGGCCCAGTGACAGGCGCAACCTGGGATGAACAGATATGTATGCCGAGCGGGGCTTGATGTCAGGCGGGGCCTGATGCCAGGCGGGGCCTGATGCCAGACAAAGCCTGATGCCGGTCGGGGCCCGAGGTCGGGCGAGGGCCCAATTTATGTGATTATGTGTATGGTATGTGATAGTTTGGGGAAGCTCACTAAACTTTGTGCTTACGGTTTTCACTTTTGGTTTCAGGTACTTCTGGTAGCAAATGGAAGAGCTCGGGATGACTGCATTGCACACACCATGATATTTAACTTGAGATGTTTACTCTGATGTTTTTGATTTGGAAACTCTGATGATGATGTTTTGAGATACTTTGACTTATGTTTTGATACATTGTTTTGATAACTATGATTTTATTTAATAAATAAAAAATAAAATTTTGGGACCATATTTTACGAATGTTACAATATTACTTGTTTAATGTTGACATAAAACCCGTCGATGGAATGTTTTCTAAGCATTTTTATTTGTCTAAACATGAAACAATGATTTTTTTGTGAAAATGATTACCTCATAAAATTATTTTTATAATAAAGACACTTGATTCAACTATAAACAATGACTTTTTTTATTTTTATTTTTTATAAAAATGTTACAACTCGTTTTATGCCATCATAAATCCAATTGTTATAATAAGTAAAATTTTTAAGTAAAACTATTTTAACAAAAAACAACTTTTAAAAATACAATGGTTTAATAAATAAAAAAAAACACTATAATACAAAAAAATTGAAAACTCCATTACTATATTTCTCGTTGGCTCTAACTTAAGAGCATTGGTATGGGCCGGTGTTATAACGCCATCTTACATGCCACATCAACCTTAACACCACCATAACACCATGTAAGAAATGGTGTTCCAATGTTATAACTTGTTAAGAGGTAGAAAAAGGTAGAGAGAGAAAGAGAGAATGAAAAAGAAAAATGATTTTGATTGGTTCTTATTCCTGTTTCAATAAGTTGTGACGAGCACGAGAAGTGCCATAACGAGAAGAAACGAGAAGGGGGGACGGTGTTCCCCCGTCACGACGGCGTTTTCGTGTGCCACATCATCCGGTTGCTTCTCGTTGTTGGCCCATACCGCATCGTCTAACAGTAGAAGTGAAGAAGGGCCCAAAAACTTATGCACTGGGCCAGGTCCAGTACAGTTGACGTGTCCAATACTCCGATCCTGAAGCCAAATCCGAGACAAGAAGATAGACGCCATCTAATTCGAGTCGTCGAGTTTCCGTAGAACCCTAAACCCTAAAACGAATCTGGATTTCTTCTGGATCCTTCTCTTCCTCTGCTATTTTAATATCTCTCTCTACTCTCTACTCTGTCTCTAGTCTCTACCCATTTCACATTCCGCCCTTTCTCTTCTGAATACTCTCCTCCGCCGCCGCCATGTTTCGTCTAGCAGCCAATCTCGCCACGAAATCAAGGTCAGTTTCATTCTAACGTTTGATCTCGGAATTATGTGCTACAGCAAGAAACTTATCCATTGATTTAACTTTGTTGTTGTTTGTTCTTCCATTTTCAGGATTGCCAGAAACAATGCGCAGCAGGTATACGCTGTATATTATAGTATATGTAGCTCATTAATGATCTCGTGATCTTTTGTAAGATCGGTTAAGGCTTAAAATTCTACTGTGTGTTGTGATTCAGGTTAGCTCGAGTTTAAGCTGGAGCCGCAACTACGCTGCGAAAGACATTAGATTTGGAGTAGAAGCGAGAGCTTTGATGCTTAGAGGTGTTGAAGAGCTTGCCGATGCCGTCAAAGTCACAATGGGTCCTAAGGTCTTTCTAATCACCGTTTTCTGTTTGCGATGATTGTATTTTGTATTTTTATGGTCATTGACAATGTCTAAAATAGACTGCACCATTGAAATGCCTGATTCTTAAGTACTAAAGCTTTACTTATTAAGCTCGATTACTATATCTAGCCATTAAACGTTTGGATCTTTTGCATATCCCGTGCGGAAATGACAACACCTATACGAACTCGATAGTGTCCTTTTAGATGGTATACACTTTAACTGCAATCTTACTACTTGTGTTCTTTGTGGATCCAAACTGTCTATCATAAACAAGCTATTGGATTGTGCCATATGTTGAGATGAGAATGATATTTGGTACACATAGCTTCCCTTCTTTTATATTGTGATTCCTGCATTTGCAGTCTGCATGGTCTATCTAGTTTCGCTATAAAAACAGTATGAAGATTGAAGTTATGTTGTACTTTTTATTGGTTATTGTATCTTTGTAGGATCGAAATAATGCACTGCTGCAGATACAGTAGCTAACTCTGATTGTTGATCTTTTAAAGGGACGTAATGTTGTCATTGAACAAAGTTATGGTGCTCCCAAGGTGACAAAGGACGGTGTCACTGTGGCAAAGAGTATTGAGTTTAAAGACAGGGTGAAAAATGTGGGTGCTAGCCTTGTCAAGCAGGTTGCTAATGCCACCAACGATGCTGCTGGTGATGGTGAGTTTTCTTTTTGTTTTTTCACTCTTTTGGAGGGATTTTTTTCTTGACACACATGAATTATGATCTAAATCTTTGGTGTAACAATGTTTTAGGTACTACCTGCGCAACAGTTCTTACACGTGCAATTTATTCAGAAGGCTGCAAGTCAGTTGCAGCTGGAATGAATGCCATGGATCTTAGACGTGGGATCACCATGGCTGTTGATTCAGTTGTCACGAACTTGAAGAGCAGAGCTAGGATGATCAGTACATCTGAAGAAATAGCACAGGTTTGTTCCATTTACTGCAGGAAATCATAGCTATAAGTTTCTCAATCAGCCTACTAGTACTAACTCTTTAGTTGATATCTTTTTGATATGACCTATTAAAAAGGTTGGGACAATATCAGCAAATGGAGAAAGGGAGATTGGTGAACTTATTGCCAAGGCTATGGAGAAAGTTGGCAAAGAAGGTGTCATCACCATTTCTGTAAGTACCTCATAAAATTCTTCACAGAAGTTATCTGACCAGTGCGATTGAATAAAATATTATTTATATATTTCTTAGAATACCAGTTTGTAATGTTTTCTATCTGTAATTGTTTTGAATGTAATGTGGATTGGTTGCAGGATGGCAAAACACTTTACAATGAATTGGAAGTGGTTGAGGGAATGAAGTTGGATAGAGGCTATATATCACCTTACTTCATCACCAACACAAAGAATCAAAAATGTGTAAGCATTAATATTCTTCTAACTGCATTTATTATTTACAGATTGCTTCTCGTGTTACCAATGAGTTGTCATATATCTAATTATTGACAATCTCTCTGTTTTTACAGGAATTAGATGACCCTTTGATTTTAATACATGAGAAAAAAATCTCCAGCTTAAACGCCATAGTCAAAGTTCTAGAATTGGCTTTGAAGGTAACGAATTTAGTTAATAGCTTATAGTAAAAATGCTTGCTTGTGTCTTCTGATTCACACATTTACCACAACTTATTTGCATTTCAGAATCAAAGATCACTGCTGATTGTTGCTGAAGATATTGAGAGTGAGGCATTAGCCACTCTCATTCTTAACAAACTCCGTGCTGGTATCAAGGTATCATTTTTTATAATCGTTTTATACAATTATTTCATCAAATGTTTGTTTATTTGTTGTTTTATAATTCTTCCATTCTAATAGTGCATATTGTTGTGTAGGTCTGTGCCATTAAAGCCCCTGGTTTTGGAGAGAACCGAAAGTCAAACTTGCAGGATCTTGCAACTCTGACTGGAGGAGAGGTGGGTCACTTTTTTTTTTTTTTTTTTTTTTTTTTTTTTTTTTGCATATTTTCAACTACTTTGTTGTGTATACATTTTGATTTGAAATTTGTTTCTGTTTCCATAAATTTGTTGTAGGTCATAACCGATGAACTTGGCATGAATCTTGATAAAATGGCACCAGAAATGCTAGGGACTTGCAAAAGGGTAAGCACTTTGTTTTTCCTACAACTACAACAACTCTAGCTTGCACAAATGGAAATATGCAATATATGGTAATAATGTTTGGAACATTTCATATATACATTTAGGTTACAATATCAAAGGATGACACAGTTATTCTTGATGGGGCTGGCGACAAAAAAGGAATTGAAGAAAGATGTGAACAGGTTAATTACAGTAGCTTGTTGTATATTTAATTTATGTACCTGAACTTCCTAACATGTATGATTTTGTGTTTTTACAGTTGAGGTCATCGATTGAATTGAGCACTTCTGATTATGATAAGGAGAAACTCCAAGAGAGATTAGCAAAACTTTCTGGTGGTGTTGCTGTTTTGAAGGTTTGATTCTTATTTTTGTTTTATTTCTAAATAATTTTGCTATGTAAATGAAGCTGAAGTTGGTGATTGGTATATTTTTGTGATTGGTCAGATTGGAGGAGCGAGTGAAGCTGAAGTTGGTGAGAAGAAGGATAGAGTTACTGATGCTCTAAATGCTACAAAGGCTGCAGTTGAAGAAGGAATTGTGCCAGGTAGATTAAATCATGTCCACACATGCTATTTACAATTCAAGCACTATTTTACAGTATTTATTTTTAATTGTGATAATAATATCAAAAAATATATAATATAATATAGGTGGTGGTGTTGCTCTTCTATATGCTTCAAAGGAGCTTGATAATCTTGTTACAGCTAATTTTGATCAGAAGATTGGTGTTCAAATAATTCAAAATGCTCTCAAGGTAATTCCCCCTTTCTTCCTAATAAAAAACAGCTAGCAGTGTAGTTTTATTGTATATCTGTTTTTGTTGCTGATATTTTTATTGTTTATTGGTTGTGTATGTGAAGGCACCGGTGTACACAATTGCTGCGAATGCAGGAGTAGAGGGTGCTGTTGTTGTTGGGAAACTATTGGAGCAAGATAACCCCGACCTTGGATATGATGCTGCTAAAGGTTCTCTTTTTCTCTTTCTCTTTGTTAAAAAAAAAAAAAAAAAAAAAATAGCAAGCAATGTAATTGTAAATGTAGTTTGATTTGATTTGTTTATTATACATAGCTTTCTGTTACAGCATTGTACTTTGAAAAACTCAACCTAGTTATAGCGATGCTATTGGAATACCAATACAAAGCATTTTTCACTGCTATGGTTGGGTAGATTTTTCAAAGTACGATTGATGTTCTTTCAAACAATAAATGTAAAACACATATAAATGAAATGGAAGTAGGTTGGAAATTATTTTTTTGTTTTGTTATTAATTTTTTTTTTTTGTTTGCAAATAAATTAATAGGTCAATATGTAGACATGGTTAAGGAAGGAATCATTGACCCCCTGAAGGTGATCAGGACGGCTTTAGTGGATGCTGCAAGGTAATATGACCTTTTTACCCTTCCTAATTTATTTTATTTTTTCACATGGAAATGGAAATGGAATCTGAATCTGTTGGGTATTGGGCTTTGCAGTGTGTCCTCTTTATTGACTACAACAGAAGCTGTGATTGTTGAACTTCCAAGGGATGAGAAGGAGGCTCCGGCTATGGGCCCAGGCATGGGGGGCATGGGTGACTATTGAAGGAAAACGGGGTAAAATTTATAATATATGGTGAAGCATTTATCAAACTGTACAAGTAAATGAATTCAATTAGATCACTGATTTGAGCGAGGGAGCCATTAGAGTTGAGTTTTGTTTATTACGGATTTGCTGCCAGCTTAGTTATAATACATTTTGTAATCATTTTTGATGAGAATGCTTCGGAACTGATCATCATTTTTCCTCTAATAAACAAACAAACAATCTTGTACATCTCCTATTCCTATTTGTTTCTTCAAAACCAAAATAAAATCAGATATCATATAAATTCTAATTCAAGTCCGTCATAGTTGTCTATGATCCGGATCATACCCTTATTATAAACATGTTATTGAACAAACCATATATACGGTTTTAAAAAATTAGAGGGTTTTAATTGAAGTGGAATAAATTTGATATAGGCTTTTTTTGTTATTGGTGATTGGTTTATGTCTTTTTTTGATCATCTCTTAAGTATTAGAGAGGGAAACATGGTTAAGCAGAGTTGAGGCGTGTGCATGATTGATTGATTGGCAAATGGGTGGGGTGAGAGGCAGGAGGAAGAAGGTAGGATAATAAATAAATAAACAAATAAATAAATAGATGAGACTCGTCCAATCATGTAAGCAAATCATTTATATCATTTATGTCATGTGTTGCATCATAATAAATTGGATCATAGGGTCATATCATATTATCACCCAATTCAATCCAGATTCAACTCACTCAAATCATATATTTAATCACAATGATAACATAACATCATTAAAATGGGCCTCACACTTATGACTTAAAGGTAGCTTGCTTGTAGAAACTCAATTTCAATGACTTTGTAATTTGCACATCACAAAATAAAATGCACACTATATCTATCGCCTACAACAACAGTCTCTAAAATCTAAATAAAATAAAATAAAATATTGCATATGATATGAAGTTGATAACATAAGAATGTGTATATGACCTAACTCCTTCAACTTTTATTTTTGGTGGGGTTGTGGGGAAACAAATTTCTAAAAGGTTCGACCTGGGGCTGGGCACATGCAGAGGATTCGATCTCCATATATTGCTGTCTATCTCTAAATTTATTATTTATTTATTATATCCACTTCCGACATCTGCTTAATGAATGCAATTCAAAATCTCTTTTACACAAAAAAGTTTGTTGCCAAATAAGTAATTACAAAAGTTCCGTTGTCCTTGGTTTTTTCTTTGCCAGAGAAGACACACCTAAAATAAATGTAATCTACTTTTTTATATTTATTTTTTAAAGATATATATATATTAGAAGGAACGTTTAAAGGTCTTTATTAATCGAACGAGAGTCTCCTTGATCGAAATTATTCCTTATTTGATTATAAAGTTACAACATATACTCATAAATATTCTTCTTAAAAATATGTTTCTTGAAACAGAGTTAACTGAAAGTATGTTAATCTTTATATATTGTTCTTCATTTTGTTTTATGAAGTTCAATGATATCTTCTTTGAACCTTTAAGTAACAATTGGTACCTCGCCTTTTGTAACATGGTTTTAGATTATTTAAAATGGTTATTACCAATAAAACACCTTACATTTTACCTATTTGAAATTAAATATCTTCCTACATTTTCTTCCTACTTATCTTTCTATCCATTTCTATCCATGTGAAATGATAATAATTGTCATATTTGAATAATATTATTATTATTGTTATATACTTACAATCATTTCAAATGGATAGAAAAATAAGTAGGAAGATACATGGCCTTTAGTATAATACATACCCACTAATTAATCCAACAACACTTGGTCTTGATGTCCTTAAGTGCATACAGAGTTGACCAATGTTTATCATTATCTTCCTAAAAATTCAACAAAACTATGCAACGACACTTATACCTTTTAGGATTAGATTGTAATGCATAAAATATCACTAGCCTAACTATTAAATTATTTTTTTATGTTATCAATATGTTATTTTAACACGTTATTTTGCTTCAACATGTTATCACCTTTTAACAAAAAGGATTTTGCTTAGATAAAAATTGTTATTATTTGGAAAAATATTAGTAGAAACATTTGTTTTGATTATAAAGTCTTATGTATTTCTTCAACAATGAGATAATTTGATAAAAAAAAAAACGTGTTAAAAGTTATTAGATAATAACATGTTGAAGCAAAAAAACATGTTAAAGTTTTATTAATATATTGGTAAATTTTATAAAAGCAGAATTATGAAATCCGTTTCATACTTATAGTGTTATACAACTGTTTTTCCTTTTGATAACTTTTACCACCATTAACAAGTTTTTATGTCAATATATTGTTTTAACATGTTTTTTTTTTGCTTCAACATGTTATCATCTTATAGTTTTTAACATATTCATTATTTATTATTATTTTTATCAAATTATCTAATCGTTAAATAAATACAAAAAAGACTTTTTAATCAAAATAAATATCTTTTAATCTTTTTCTAAGTAATAACTTTTTCTTATCCAAACAAACTATATTTTTACCCTATATAAAAGTTATAAGGTAACATATTGATAATCAAAAGACACATTAAAGGAATACATTAATAACTTAAAAAATACGTTTAAAAACTGGTATAAGGGTCGACGGTATCGTCGAAATAGTCCTGGGAACGGGGCATTAGGAACTGAGAGCACAACTCCATGTGTTTTAGGAAAGAAGAGAGAAAGATTTTCGGGTAAAATATTATGAACTTTCTGTCTCCTTTTTCTTTTTCTTTGCATCTTATACTTTGTGTTTCTTTATTTGTTACATGGGTTTAGGGATGATCGGGAATGGAAAGATGAGAATTTTCATGTTTTTAATGATCGGAGGAAATATTAAAAAGACATGAAAAAAACTTATGTCGCATAAGTTATGTGACAAATATGTGGTTTTTGGGAAGATAGGGAAGGGAGTCACGGATATCCATCATTCCCTTCTCTTTCCTCAAGTCGCATCAGTTTTTTTCTCTATTCCCATTCCATCTCTTATATCTTTAAACCCATTAAAATAGTCATTTTTCACATCTCTCCCATCCCACCTTTTGGTACAAATAATAATGCATAAAGTACAAGATGAAAAAAAATAGCTCGGGAAGCACAACTCGAAGCGGGCTCAAAAGCCTTGGTACCGGGACACAGATGGTACTTCCCATCCCTCAACTATTCCCAAGCTGATAGCGATACCATCCACAAACCATTATATATCATTATATCTAAATAAGCCAAAAAAAAACATCATGTCATTCTTAGAAAACATATGTTGAATCAAAACGTAACAATTAAGATTACGATTTTAATCGGAATTTTTTTTTTCTAATCACAATCAACCATTTCATTTACGCTGTTACAAAAGGTAAGATACAATTGTAACTAAAAGGTGGAAATGACATATCATTAAACTTTAGAAAACAACACAAAAACGATGAAAATATTTTTGATATCAGAGAAATGCAAAAATGTCTTTGTAGTTTGCTGTTTAATCTCTATCATTGGAGGCTAAAAAATCTAGAAATTTTCATAAAAATAGTTATTTTTTGAAGGTTTGCTTTGGTCTATTATTTTGACACCCTCTGTGACGTTAAGTAATTGTTGAATTACTATTTCACCTGCTCTACCAACCTACCTCATCCCTTAAGCTTTAGTCTTTGAACACCGCCAATCCAACACCATTCCCTCCTATGTAACAACACCACCGGGCACCGGCATCCCCTACCACCGACCTCCCCCTCCCACCGCCTACCTTAACCGGAACCCCAAGAGGTACCCTCGATCTCAGTTGTATGTTTCATCGAGGATAAAAAAAGGATTAAACCCATCCCATGGCTCAGAACTCAGAAATAAAAAGAGAAGTAACGGTCTCAATCCCCACCGTTGATCTCCTTCACGTGATTTCTGGACAAAAAAGTAAATAAGCTTATCCTTATCTATCTCTCTATCTCTCTTAATTTCACTCCACCTGCAATAATAGCTAACGACCATCAAAGGTGGCAGCAGCCAGCACCGGTGGGCAGTGAGCAGTGACCACCAATCTCTCCTCAACCATATATAGGTCCCCTCAATCGCCACCATCATCCACCGAAGCATGCAATATATATATATATATATATATATATATATATATATTCGAATTGATTTAAAAGGCATCTAATGTTATTTTCCAGCTTTCTAGGGAATAATATAGAGTTTATCGGGTTTAAAATGTCCTTTTCAAGTTTTTAAAAGGGTAAACCCGTTACCCCTTGACTTTAATGAAATCCATCAATGTCTTCTCTCCATTTTCCTTCATCTCTCCCTGAAAAATCATTCTCCTTACCTGCGATTCATTCAGCTACCATCTCACCACCCGCTTGAATCAAAAGCTAGATTGCACAAAAAGTCATTCTCCTTACCTTCTTTGTGGGTAATTGAGGTGATCAAGAAACACAACGCCTTCGAGACAATTTTCTTCTTTCCAACATCAACAACCCACCCTCCATCTTCTTCATAATCACCGTTTTTTCATGGCTGCTAATAGTCATTGGAGTTCTTTACTTGCTTTACTTCCTGTGGTATTCGTTGGTAGTCAAACCCCTGTTCCTGAACCCCAAGAACACCCATGGACCTCTTTGAGAACTTTTATCGAACACTTGGTGTGCGATGCTACAAACTCCACCTCAACACAAAACTTCTTTGTTGAAGGACCCGATTTTCGATTCAAATCACCAAAACAAATACAACTCGATAAAATCAGTATGAATTAGACCTTAATTGTTACCTGATTCGAGATCAAAAAAATCTCGTGAAATACGCACCCAAAAACAGTTTTGTTTTGAATTACTGTAGAAGTCTCGACTAATTATCCACTGTGAAGTTACAAAACTGATACACCATTCTTAAATCTGCACCCTGTATATGTGCTTATTGTAAAGATGCACAGAAGAATAGTACTGGAATTAGAACGTGTGTATACATCAGTTATTAAAAATAAAAATTTAATATCAATATTTAAATATTAAATATTTTATAAAATAACATTTTTACATAACATAATATAATCTTTTGAAATATTTATAAAAAAATCAAATATTCTTTAGTATTTATAAGACTTTATTATCAAATTAATTGAATGATTATTTTTCCTTATAAAACTGGTTAGAAATTTATGAAATTTTATTTTAAAAAAATGAAAATTTCCAAAAAATGACAAGTGGAAAATAATAATTCTAAAAC